ANGGGGGGGGGGAAGGGGGGGGGGGATAAATGGATTCAGCAGGTAGCGAAACCGAAAACAAAGGGGGAGAGGATGTTGGGAAGCAGTTTCGAAGAATCTGCAATACTTTCCTTTCTCACGCCCTCTCAGACCCAAACCTGTGGGCCCCCGAGTTGTTTTTTTCTTCCTATTATCACAAATCCCCTCCTCCCCCCACCACCACCATATGCAGAGCTCCTCCTCCCCCCCATCTCGCCCAAGCAACCGACCCCGGACCCCGCCCTTCCGCCCGTCGTTGCGACACCCCACACCCCCCACACCCCCCAGCCCCCAGCCCAGCCCCCCACCGCCACCCCTCACTTGAAGAAGGCGCCCAGGATGGTGGTGAAGATGCGGCCCACGGAGCTGTCGCTCATCTCCGTGAACGAGATGAAGTGGAAGTGGCGCAGCAGGCGGTTCGTGACGGGGTTGCGGCCGCCGCCCGGGGGCCCCATGGCCGCCACGAACTGGGTATCCACGATGGTGCGGAAGGGGCAGGGAGGCTTGCGCTCGTACCTGGGGGGGGGGAGGATGGCGAGGAGGGGAGGGGAGGACGAGGGGGAGGGGGAGGAGGCGGGGGAGGGGAGGATGAATAAGGAAAGGTTATTGTTATACTTGGAAGAGGAGGAGGAGGAGGAGCAAGAGGAGCAAGAGCTACCTCTTCCCCCCCCAACGCAATGAAAGGCGCAAGAAGGGTGGAGGGGGTGATCGATCGATCAAGAGAGAGGAGCAACACACAGGGCAAGAGAGGAGCGGTACGGCTGTACTGCTGTACTGCTGTACTGCACCCACCATCCTCCATGGTCCATCCACTGCCGCAACAGCTCAATGGGCGGCTGTGCAAAGTACTTCTCTCGCTGCGGCATGTTCAGATCGTCCACGAACACGACGTAACGCTTGCCGGCAGGAGGGCCGTACACGCCCTTGCGCCGCTTGTCCATCTTGGCGTCCAGGATGTCCTGAGGGCCGAAATCGGTTGGCGTTTTGGCAGTTAATATCTAGGCAGTTGGCGGTTAGCGGTTGATACACGGTTGATACACGGTTCATGGTTGATACACGGTTGCCCACACACTCACACGCGCACGTGACTGCTAACAATGCATGAATAACAGCACTAGCAGCACACCACTACCATTACCACCACCAACAACAACAACAGCCAGAGCAATCACAATAAACAACATTGCCTAGCAGCATCACCAGCACCAAGTTAGCTAACAGTTGCACTTCCTCCTCCTCCTCCCCCTCCTCCCCCTCCTCCTCCCCCTCCTCCTCCCCCTCCTCCCCCTCCTCCTCCTCCTCCTCCTCCTCCTCCCCCTCCTCCTCCTCCCCCTCCCCTTCCACGCACCCTTACATGCACCCGTACCTGAGTCTGGTTTGCTGAGGTGCGAGCTGAGAAGGTCATGAACAGCGGCTGCACCTCGGGCGGCATGTCGTTGAGCAGCTTGTTAGCCACGTTGAGAGTCTTACCCGTCCCGGTCTCACCCACACATAGCACGTGGCGGTGGGCGGCAACCAGCCTACGGAAGGGCACAGGGGACGTATGTACGTATGTATCTCTGTGTGTATGTGTTTTTGTGTGTAGGTGTGTATATATATATATATGTGTGTTTTGGAGGCTTGGGTTCAGCGGTGCGTTGGCGGGGACGGTGGGTGGGTCAAGGGTACGGTAGAGGGGGGGACGACGACGGAAAAGCCGCTTCCCAAGCATTTAGTAAGGGGATACATGAGAACACGGCCGCTGGGATGAAGGAATGGCCGGTGGAAGGAAGGAAGGGGGCTGGGAATCGAACGCCGAAGAATGGGCGGGAACATTTGTACCATGCGTTGGACATGCGGCTGCCTTTCCCCCCTTCCAACCTAACAATTCCCCTTCTCCCATCCCTCCCTCTTTCCCTCCCCTTTTTCTCCCCTTTCCCTCCCGCAACATCCATCCCGTCCTCCTCCCGCGATCCCACGTGACTTCCCAGGTTGGTTTTCCAGATGGTGGCTCCCTTTCCCTTTCCCTTTCCTTCTCTCCCACTCCACCTTTTCCCCTCGGTCCCCCCCGGAGTCGGTGCCATCCCTCCCCCCTCTCCCACGTGCATACGTACCTATCCACCAAATACGTGTATCTGACGGTGTCGGCAGTAGGCACGATGATCTCAGCAAACGGCCGGTCCGGGTCACACCGGAATTCCGGCACCGTTGCCATCCAGCCCGCCCAGCCCGGCGCGCCGTTCTCCGTGAAGCTGCCCGTCACGTCGTACACCCAGTCGTATACGCTGCCCGTGGCCGGCATCATGGCGCCGTCAGCCAGCGTCAGGCCGCTGTCGCGAATCTGGCTCCGAAACCAGGTATCGAACGCGGCACGTCCCGCCTTGTCGCACGAGGCCCCCACGCTCCACACGATGCTGAACAGCATGAGGCTAGGCAGCATAGCGGCTTGAGCGGCCTTTTCATCAGCAGTGGGAGGTTCTTGGCCTTCAGCGCGCTCGAAAGCCTTGAGCAGGGAGTCCATGAGCCCGAAGCAGGAAGCCACCAGGTTGTTGTTGACGGTTGCGACGGTTTCCTGTGGTAGTTGATCGTGGGCGCATTCATCAGAGCAGCATCGGAAGGAGGTCAGCAGGACAGGAAGCATCAGCACGCAAAATAGTGTGTACATTCGCTTTGTTCTCTCTCTCTCTCTCTTTCTCTCTCTATCTATCTATCTCTCTATCTCTCTATCTCTCTCTCTCTCTATCTATCTATCTCTCTATCTCTCTATCTATCTATCTCTCTATCTATCTATTTATCTATCTATCTATCTATCTATCTATCTATCTATTTATCTATCTATCTATCTATCTATCCATCTATCCAGAACCCCACAGCCTACCTTGCTAATCCCCCTCCTCCACCCAAACCCTCGCGCTGTCTGACTGAACCCCAAACGAACCCCAATCCCCTTTCCTATTCCCCCATCCCTTCTCCTTGGTCTTTTCCTTCCTTCCGTGCCATAAGCCCCAACTAAGTGGTAACTCAGTACCCCACTTGGGCCACATGTTGAGGATGGGCCCAAACCCTCCTTTTCGCCCGCGCCTACCCCTACACCCGCATTTTTTCCTTTCTCCTACTCCGGGTCTTTCTGAGCCACTTTTCTATATAGTAACCCAGCCAGCCAAGCCCACCTTGAGGCTCTTGCGGAGCGTTCTGAGCCCCTCCGGTACCAGCGCATTGAAGATGTTCGCCAGCAGCGCCCCGTGCTCCGAAACCCCGGGTGGCAGCCGGCCCAGCCAGCTCCGCAGCAGCGGCTCCAGTCCGAGCGCGGTGGGCTCCATGTAAACCATACCGCAGCGGGAGACGGTGGCGGGAGAGGCGACGGCCAGGTCCTCAACCTGGACAACGCGGAGGGGGAGGGAAAAAATGAAGTCCTTACAAAGAGAGAAGTTCTTAAATAAAGAGAGAAGACGGCGGAATTCCCTAATTGTCTGCCCCTCACAATGGAACCGGTGATGTAGCAGCCGTGTAGCAGCAACAGCAGCGGAACCAATCAAGTGGCAATACTACTCTACTACGAAATGAAGAGCTTGCCAAGGGAAAACAAACCCTAGGCCATTTAAATCTTCACAGCATACATACACATACACACACACTTCCACATATTTCGTTTTACATACATCAGTTAGCCATCCACCCAGCCATCCACCCAGCCATCCACCCAGCCACATCCAACCAGCCACATCCACCCAGCCACATCCAACCAGCCACATCCACCCAGCCACATCCACCCAGCCACATCCAACCAGCCACATCCACCCAGCCATCCACCCAGCCACATCCATACTTGCCTCAAACATCATGGTCATGGACGAACTCAGCTGGATGATCTCGCCGCTGACAAGACACAGCTTCTTGTTGTCGTCCAGCACCGTGTTCATGTTCTCAATCCACACCGCGTCCACGGGGCCGTCGAACATGATCCACTTCTTATCCGGCTTGGGGTCCTCGGAGCACTCCCGCATGTAGCAGGCCAGCACGCCGTCCGTCCACTCGTGGGTGTTTTCGTCAAACTCGCCGTACAGCTGACCCATGGTGATGGACTTGGGGTTGAGCGACACCACGCGCACGCGCTCGTACCTGTGCAGGTTGCAAAGTCAAGAGGACAGGGTGTTGCGTGGGGTGGGATGGGGTGATAGGGCTCCAAAGGCGGGCCGTGTATGTGTATGTGTATGTGTATGTGTATGTGTATGTGTATGTGTATGTGTATGTGTATGTGTATGTGTATGTGTATGCGTATGTGTGTATCGGCCCTGTTTGCCCGGACCACCACAGTTCCATACACCCACACACCGCCGTCCACCCCTGCCCCGAAACCACGTAATCCTCCCCCGCGCGCACCTCACACCCACACCCACACCCACACCCGTCACCGTCACGGTCGTTCGTATCCCCAAGCTGTGGCATATACCCACTTTGGATCTCCCGCCACGGCCAGCTTCGTCATAGCCTTCTGCAGCGACCGGTAGCAGCAGGTCTTGCCGCCCATGGTGGGTCCCACAAGCATAAGCCCATGCCGTACAATGGTAGTTTCGTACAGCTGGATGACTTTGGCAACGAAGGGCTCCACGGCCTGGTCGCGTTGGGAGAAGGGAAGGAGAGGACGTTGGAGGACGTTGGAGGGGTGCGAGGGGTGCGTGAGCGTGTGTGTGTGTGAGAGAGCGAGGTGTAGCCAAAAGGGTTAAGAAAGTATATCCACTTTTAGAGACAAACTAAAAAAAGGTGAGCTCGGTGCGGATAAATGGGCGGGTATGGGTGTATGGGTTATTAGGCTTTTATAGGGTTATTAGGAAAAGCGGGGAGGGGATGGGTCCAGACAGGGGGTTAGGGTCAGTGTACGGATCAATGTACGAACGATTAAGTAACCGGACTCCCCAACACGGATAAATGAAAACACATACACACACACAGGTGCCCACACACACAGGTGCCCACACACACAGGTGCCCACACACACAGGTGCCCACATCTTCACCCATGTACCTGGATGCCCAGCTCCTTGCATGACTCGCCAAGAGCTGACAGAAGACTGGCGTAATCGACCTGACAACAGGGATAACAGGGAGGGCGGGCAGCACACCGGCAGTCACACGTAGGCCACAGAGGGAGATCAGCATCGGGAGGGGGATCGGCATCGGGAGGGGGATCGGCATCGATTGAACCTGGGGCTGCGAATTGGGATTGCTAGTTGCGGAGGTTGTGGGGAGGTTATTGAGGTCAGTAGCAGCAGCACCACCAGACGCAGCAGCAAAAGCAGGAGGCGCAGGAACAGCAGCAGCAGCAGCAGTAGTAGTAGTAGTAGTAGTAGTAGTAGTAGTTGCAGCAGCAGCAGCAGCAGCAGTAGTAGTAGTAGTAGTAGTAGTAGTAGTAGTAGTAGTAGTAGTAGTAGTAGTAGTAGATGCAAAAACAGCAGATTCGAGAGAAGCGCACCTCAGGCATTTTGACCCCGGGGAAGAGGTCAGTGATGATGCCGTTGAACAGCGGCAGGTCGTGGCTCAGGAACTTGGGCACATTGACGTCCCGCAGCGCCCTCAGCAGCAACACCTCCTCGTTGTCGTCGGGGAACTCGCGCTTCAGGTTGCCAGCGGCAGTGATGACCGACTTGACGGCACGCATGCCTGCATGCATGCGCACACGGCCGGACATCCACATGGACACATACACATTCACATACATACATACACACATACATACATACATACATACATACATACATACATACATACATACATACATACATACATACATACATACATACATACATACATACATACATACATACATACATACATACATACATACATACATACATACATACACACATACATGCGACCAAGCTGCTTTATGGGAAAACATTAAAAACGGGCCCCATACCCTTATTGTGTCTTCCTTAAAGGTCCCTTTTGAGCCCTTCCCGTTTGTTACAAGTTCCGCGCACAGACGTCCGGGGATGTCCGGAAAAGCGGGGGGAGGGCCCAAGGGACGTGTGTATGGCCCAGCCCCCAGCAGCCCACACGGGACCGTAGTCCAGCCCGAGTTACTCACCGTAGTCGTAGTGATCCTGGCTGGAGAGCTGCTCAGAGCACAGCTTGAAGGTGGCCACCATCTTCCGCGCCAGGTCCTTACCCGCCCGATAGCCGTAGCTGTACAGGCAGATCTCCGCAATGAGCGCGTAGTCGGGAACCATCATGGCGCAGGGGCGGAACAGTGCCTTGAGGTTGTCGGGGAGCTCAGAACGGCCTGAGGGAGGAGGAGGAAGGTGGAAGGACACACGTGATGACAGCAGGGGTTGACAGGAAAAGAAAGACAGAGGACAGACAGGGAGCGGGGGAGAGTACAGTCGTCATTCTCTATAGCGGCGCTATAGTGACACAACCCACGGGGGGCGGTCCTAGAGGTCCACGGGATAACATGGGTCCAAGCTCCATTATGGCTCCCGGTATAGCCCGCGCAAACCCCCCAAAACTCCCCAAACCCCCCAACCCCTTCACACATACACACACACACCCAAAACCCCCGAAAACCCCAGCCCCCGCACCTGCGTATCCGGGGTTCATGGTGATGTAGACGGAGCAGGCGGGGTTAAGGTCGATCTCCGTGTCCTCAAAGATGAAGCGCTTCACCTTGGCCTGGATGGCCAACTGAATGGTCAAAATCTGGATGGAATGTGCGTGTGTGTGGAGGATGGGGGGGGGGGGGGGCGCCGGAAAGGAGGTGAGGTGAGGTGACGGGTAAAGGAGGGGAAAGAAAGGGGGCTAGGGAGAAAGGGAACGATGGGGAAGGGAATGGTCTGAAGTAGTTTGTGTACCCAAAGGACCGACGTTCAGGCAGCAACTCAAGTCGTCTCCCCATTCCTCTCACCCTCGCATTTCCCTCGCCCTCCAAGCGAAGATTCCCGCTCTCCCTCTCCCAAAACACACATACAGACACACAGACATTTATACAGACACACACATACATACATACAGACATACCTGCTGAGCCACCACGGACAGCACCTCCAAGTCGATACGGTTGAACTCGTCAAAGCAGGCCCAGGCACCACTGCTGGCCAGACCCTTGAAGAACTTGGCCATGGCCTGCAGGGCGTTGGCAGTTGTGGTCGTTGGAAGTTGGTCGGTAAACGTTAGTAATTATTTGGCTCCTAGATGTCCCAGATTACCCCTCGTCCTCCTCCGCCTCCTCCTCCTCCTGCTATTACCCCTCCTCCACCTCCTCCTCCTCCTACCACTCCTCCTACTCCTACTCCGCAAGCCAGCCTCCTACCATCCACGCCCCACCTGGTAGTCCAGACCGTCTGAGCAGTTGAAGACCACACACTGCTTGGCCAGAGCCTTGGCAAGGTCCTTCGTAGTTTCGGTCTTGCCCGTACCTGGGTCGATAGAACAACAGAGCAGAACAGAGCAGATTAGAACAGACCAACATGGGGTAATGCAGGTATACGGTTGCGGTTGTACGGATGCGGATGTGGATGTGGATGATGTATGTGACAGGACAGGACAAGCCAGCAGCCAAAACCATTGCACTCCATCCCACTATTACCCCAACCCCCCTCTCTCTCTCTCTTTCTCTCTCTCTCTCTCTCTCTCTCTCTTTCTCTTTCTCTCTCTCTTTCTCCCTCCACCCATTTCCTCTCGCTCCTCTCTCGCGTTGGTTCCCCAGACAACATGTGTCGCTTCTCCCCCTCCCCCCCTCTTCCGCTCCCCTCTCCCTTCCCCTGCCCTCACCTACCTGCCGGCCCCGCGGGTGCTCCCCCCAGGTTCATGTGCATGGCGCTCATGAGGGTCATGTAGCAGCGGTCAGTCAGCGGAGTAATCACCAAGCGGGGAGTGTTACCCAGGTACTCGTAGCTGTGGGGCAGGAAAGAAGTACAAGGTAGGGGGTTGGGCGGGAGGGAGGGTCTTGGCTTCGGAGTCAGGTGGGTGCTTGTCGGATGTCCACACAGTTAACCCTCTGACATCTGAACACATATTTCCCCCCTTACCTCCCTTACCCCCCTTCCTTACCTCCCTCCCTCCCCCTTCCCTTCCTTCCCCCCTCCCTCACCCGTAAGAGATGCTGGCCTGCACCATATCCACATACACATCCTCGTCCCGCCAGTAGTAACGCAGGCGGGACACCCATTCGAAGTCGGTGATCTGCACGAGCAGAGCAAGAGGGGAGGAAGAAGAGGGGCGGCGGACGGAAGGAGGTGGAAACAGGCAGGGAGCTGAAAACGCGGGGAGAGAGGGAAGGTGGGACTGAAAAAAGAAACCAGAACCAGGGAACCACTCCTTACCCCACACCAACCTGCCGTACACCGCAGGCCCAGGCCCAGGCCCACACACACCCATCCCCCAGCAATTGCTGCTGCTGGACTACTCCTTCGCTGCTGCTGCTGGACTCCTATTATATCTACATCGGTCAGCGAAGTCGCT